AAAAAGTGCAAACAAGAAAAAGATGATAAAGAGCCTAAAATGCTAAAAGTATTTTTTTTTATTATTTGTTTTTCAATGACATTAGACATTTTGAAAAAGAAAAAATATATAGATATGTAAAATATCTAAAAAAAAAAGTGATAGTGTGAACTGTTTTCCAACTCCAGGTCTCCAGATTTATATGGCTTTTGAAAACTCACACTACTTGCTTGCAACTAAAGACATATGGAGTCCAGCCTTCCGAAATACCAGTGGTCTCCTTCTGGCCAAAAGGCAACCCCCTACTGAGGCGAAAGCTAGTGATCTGAAACCCCTTCATATCCTGGATCCACAACCACAGTTCACTGAGAGCTTGTGAATCTATTCCTGCCACTGTTGTAGTATCACGCAAGCAGAGCAGGTAAAGCCAATTAGCTTAATAAATCCCAGGCCGAAATCAGCAGGGGGTGTTATTAGTGCATTACAGACACTGCATGTGGAAGTGAAGTCCAGCTCATCCATAAGTCTTCCTCGTATAAAAAACAAGCAGCTATGACAATACAAAGACCTAGTCATCTGGCCTAACCACAGAACTGCTGGCTGTAACACACGATAGTGGACAGTAATGAGCGAGTGCGAACGTGACTGTGGCTATTCTTACATAACAAATGAGCTCCTTCTTTCAATTTCTCACAGTGTCAAGTAGAATTAGCAGTCACGCACAAAAACAGTTATGAGGGCAATGCCTCTTTCTCATGGTTAATTAACACTTATTTTGACTCAGCAAAATCAAGGATGTAGATTATAAAGACAAAGCAAAACACGTTTTTAAAGAGATAGATCTGCCAAAAATGTAAATTTACTCTTCATTTAATCACTGGCTTCAAATCTTTGTGTTTCTTTCTTCTGCTGAACACAAAAGAGTTATATTATAATATATTTTATTTTTCAATAAAACCTTATTTGTGTTCAGCAGAAGAAAGAAACTAATAAAGGTTTGAAACCAGTGAGTAAATAGTAAAGGTGTAACAGATCACAGTTGATCCGTGGTTTGTACGGATCACAACCCACAGTTCGGAACACACGTGAGCTGCTGTTTAATACTTTTTTTTCTGATAGATTAATCCTGAATTTAAAATAACGATCACAGAAAGATCGCGTCTTGCGTGATTTAAATCACATGTATGAAAGCATTTAGGCTTTCATGTAAAATATAATGATGGTGGAAGAAGTTGTGGTAGGTATTTGAGATGTGGTGTGTTTTAGCCTGCTTTAATGCAGTGTAAGCAGTACGATTAATCATTAAAAGGTCAGGATCTCAACACCTATGCAACATAAATGATAAATGATGGTGATTTGTTTATTAATCCTTTGAACTGCTGCATTCAAATCTGCGTTTGAAAAATGCAAAAATCAAGAAAGAGATTCCGTCTTTAGTCTTTTGAGTTAGTAATGAAGTTACAGTCAAATAACACAGAAGTACTGGGAGAACAGCTTATAGTTTAGATAAAACCACCAATGTTTATGGTAAAGATTTAAATCACCGTCATATACATTTAACTTGACGTTCAAAAATAAAAGTTGTAGGCAACATTTACAATGTTTAACCAATTGGTGGCGACAACCAGCAATCTAAAAAATGCCACTGAATAATTCTTCAAAAATGATCCATCTAGCAATGAAACATAAGTTTTATGAGTGAAACTTTTAATAATTTATTGAAAATGAGAAAAAAATGTTAGATTTCTACATTTAGCATTATCAGCAACAGTAGCAGTAACAGTGAATTTTTCACAGTACTGAATATTTTACAATAGGGCTGGGCCGATAAACTATATTATATCGAATCGCGATGAAATGTATGTCAATAACAATGATTAGCACTGCACATTTTTACTCTTTAAAGATCTAAGAACCATTCACACAGCAGAAATGTGCAATAATGGGAATCGAAAAATGTGTTGATATTAGAGATTATATGCTATTTAATGGACCCTCTTATTTTTGTGGTTTCGGTCATTGTTGGGGTATTCTTTTAAACCTGGAAGCATTTAACAGCTTATGTCAAAATATATATCATTATCATTCAATATGGAAAATAATGATCAAGATTGCATTTTTGCCATATCACCAGCAATATCTTACAATTTATTTTTATTTTATATCATTTTATTAAAAAAAACTATGTTTCTTGAAGTAGTGTTTCTGTAATAAATGGAAAGCAAATTACATTTGTCTCCTCACCTTTTTTGGTTGACCCGAACAATAGTCAGATCCATGACTAAAGAACATGTGATCCGAACTGTGAGATTTGTAATCCATTACACCACTAGTAAATAGTGAGTAAAAAGTCATAATTTAATCACTGGTTTCAAACCTTTATGAGTTTCTTTCTTCTGCTAAACACAAAAATAGTTATTATGAAAAACATTAGAAACCTAACCATTGACTTCCATATTATTTCTTTACATTTTTGTGTTCAACAGAAAAAAAAAACTTAAACAGGTTTGTGACAAATGATTAGCAAAACACAACAGAATTTCAGTGGTGTAAAGTAAGAAATTACAAATAATCAAATTACTACAATTGAGTTGTTTTTCTCAGAAATTGTAATTTACTACACTTAGTTCATTTTTGGTGCTGTATCAGTACTTTTACTTTAACTTATCTTCCTTCAACCTGCAGTCACTACATTATTTTGTCCTGTCTATATAGGGATTATAGAAAAAACAAGCATGCAATTCCTGTCCAATCAAATCACACATAGAAAGTAAATCACATCATAATGAACTACCTCAAGAAATGGGCGATTTATAATTGCGGCAAACTTTTTGGAAGCATTAAAATGTTCCAAGAAAATGTCCAAAATCTTTACACACATTGGCCCAGAGACTGTTTAGATGCATGTCATTGATGACGGATGCCAATGCCGAGGGGATGTTGCATTTTGCTTGGAAAGAAAATCAGGTTGACCTCAGAACCCAGAGTCAGGCTGACGTCAATGTCCAACTTCCAACCTAAAATCAACCAAGTATCAACATCTAATGATGTTACAGCTTGATGTTGTCAGGACGTTACAACTATGACGTCTATTAGATGTTGGATTTTGGTTGCCCTACCTGACGAATAAATGTCAGTATTTGATGTCAATATGACGCTGGTTTAAGATCTTCGCCTGACATTAGATTTTGGTCACTTTCTAACACAACCTAAAAAAAAACTTTTAATTTCTAAACGCAACCTTCATGCATCCTCACTTATTAGGTGAATTTCTAACTAATCTAATTTCTAACTTCTTATCAGGTAAGTTCTAACATTATGCAAATTTCGAAAATCTCAAATTGAAAGCTGACAAGTCAAACTAGAGTGACAGATAATTATTGTAAGAGGACCTCAGAGGCAGTGGAGAGACGCTGTTCCCATAAAAACAAGAGGCTGTGTGTGAAAAATGTGTTTCTGAGGGGAGGCTGACTGGATTGAACTGGTTTGGTCAAAAGGGAAAAGACCAGAAAGCAAACAAAAAACTTGGAAATAAAGTTAAGCAATGCAAAACGAATATGTTAACATTTTATGGAGACTGTAAAAATAGTTAACTATAACATGGAAATAACACATATACACTAACATGTATGTGATAACAAATCAAATACAGTAATGTGTGGGTTTTGATCTCTCTATTCTGGTGGTACACAAAATATCTTACATATAAAAATACACAAATTTCTTTATTTTATTCATTTATGAAAACTAGAGTCTGAGTATTTCAACAGAACCTCTCTCTTCTCTTATTCAAAAGTACACTATGTTCTTTGCCATGGAGGGAGGATAGGCTATATGACACGACTACTACCTCAAAACAAGTCCAGTTATTGGAAGCTTAAATGAACAGGGAATCGGTTCCTTTGAACAGCTCGTTTAAAAGAGCCGGTTCAAACACAGTAGAATGTAGGTAATGTGCCTATTGTAAATTTGTGGTTATGTGTTTTATTTTTTTTTATCCTGCATCTTGCTTTCGTGATTTAGTCATGCAATAAAGTTGTAAACAACAACTTAACTATGTTGTGTTAACATTTAAACTTTAAAGTGGTTCTATTATTTTGGACCAATTTTACAATTTAGTCATGTGGTTGTTTATCAGTTCTTGTGTGAGAAAGAAACACATTTGTTCAGTAATGCTTAGTAATAGGTGCTGATCTCAATAATTAGTAAAAGGTGTTGATTCAAGCTTAATTCAGACTGACCAAGATTCTTATAGATTTTTGAACCAGTTCACACAAATCATCAAAAAGATTCATCTTAAATAACGATTTGTTAACAGAGTGGATTGATATAGATTTCAACAGTTCACATACTAGATGGACATGACAGAAATACACAACACCTTTTGCAATTGCAATTATAAACAGCATCTTTCTGTCATATTGTGCAAAATAACAGCCTGAAGGGGGTGTGTCAGAAAATGTCCACTTCTACGAATAAAAAAAAGGTTTTCCACTAGCATTAATGAAATACTAATCGGTTTTATAAGTAGGCTATGATTAAAAGCACATAAACAACACAAAAACTGATTAAAACGCTAAACAAAGCGAAATACAATACCAAATAACAAGTCTAATCAAAATTTATAATAAATATCTGAATCATCAATCATATAATGGAATTAGTGACTTTATATGCTCATATTTCCAGGAATTTCCAGGAAAAGTAAAGCGCGTGAGTGCGCACGCTCATATTTTACCCAATATTTGTGCGCCTCACCTGAAGTCTCATGCATGCACATCCACTTGCTTTTTATATTTTAACAAAATATACACAAAGGTAATGCAACATTTCATCAAAGCGTCAAAAACACGACTACCCATAGCAGACACGCGTGTAAACATCGATTATTACAAAGTATATCTTATATCAAACGTCTAAATAAACTGTCTGCTACCCCAATAGGGCCGTGCCAGTTCAGTTCGCTTTCACAACACGCGAGAAACTGCATGCACGCGGATGGAGGAAAACTGTCGACTCACCTTAGCCCTGTAGAAGATGTGATTCCGTTTGTTTTAAAGTATGTGATGAAATTTGTTATTTAGCTTAGCTGACATGAGCACAAAAACCTCTGCTTGTTTTTAACAGCGTCAGCTCGGGAACGCGGATAGCTCTGTGCGCGCACCCGTAGAGCTGCTTTCTACGGGATGTGCGAGGTCTCAAACATCTCCACAAAAAAAGTAAAGATATTAGGAGATTTCTTAACTTATCTTATGTTTATGTGGCATGATAGGCAAAATATAACTCCACTGATCAGAATTTCAAGATGTGCTGGTAAAAAGAAAGATTTATTTAGCACATAAATACATTTTTAAACTAGTGCATTATTAGGTAAGCAAAAAAAAAAAAAAAAAGAGTCCCCTGGGTGTCATGTGTAGAATGTGACGTATAGGAGCAACAGGATAAGTTTGTCACTGGAGGTGTAAAAATAGACAGGCTTGGGTTGGTAAATTGGTTATTCCTTGGAATGTATTAGCAGATGATATAACCTGCTTAGGGCTGACATGGCATCACAGCAAAAAGGTCCTTGGTTCAAATCTTGGCTGGATCATTAGGTGTTTCTGTGTGGAGGTTGCATATTTTCCCCATGGTGGTGGGCTGAGGTGTATTGTGCATTTTAAAAGTGGGTGGACAGCTGAGATCCAAAAGTTTACATTTATATTAATCACCTGTTTTTAAATGGTCTGTATTTAAAAGTGAGGGGGGCGTATCTCCCCGTCCCCCCGGTTGCTACACCCCTGGGTGTGGGGTTCCTCCGGGTGCTCCAGTTTCCCCCACAGTCCAAAGTGTATGAGTGTGTGTGTAAATGAGTGTGTATGGATGTTTCCCAGCATTGGGTTGTGGCTGGAAGGGCATCCGCTGCATAAAACATATGCTAGATAAAATGGTTCATTCCGCTGTGGTGACCCCTAATGAATAAAGGCCATAGGAAAATGAATGAATGAATAATCTGTTACGGATAATCTGTCCATTATTCTACAAAAGTGGACTGTAAATAACAGAGTAAGCGCTGGAAATCTGCAAAGCAAATCTGCTCAAACAAAGTATTCAAAAAATATTTTGAAGATGAAGTTCAAATAAGTTGTGAAAGCTGTTAAAATGCACTGAATTCGGATTTGAAAATACAAATTAATAGTCATAGTTCACACTGATTGCCATTAAGTCTGCGCCGGCAGCTAGCTCTCTGCAACTCTCACATGGTCGCCCACTGAAGCTAAGCAGGGCTGCGCCCGGTCAGTACCTGGATGGGAGACCACATGGGAAAGCTAGGTTGCTGCCGGAAGTGGTGTTAGTGAGGCCAGCAGGGGGCGCCCAACCTGCGGTCTGTGTGGGTCCTAATGCCCCAGTATAGTGACGGGGATACTATACTGCTCAGTGAGCGCCGTCTTTCGGATGAGACGTTAAACTGAGGTCCCGACTCTCTGTGGTCGTTAAAAATCCCAGGATGTCCTTCGAAAAGAGTAGGGGTTTAACCCTGGCATCCAGGCCAAATCTGCCCACTGGCCTTTGTCCATCATGGCCTCCTAACCATCCCCATATTCCAATTGGCTTCATCGCTGTCTCCTCTCCACCAATCAGCTGTGTGGTGTGCGGTCTGGCGCAAAATGGCTGCCGTCGTGTCATCCAGGTGGATGCTGCACACTGGTGGTGGATGAGGAGATTCCCCCCATTGTGTGTAAAGTGCTTTGAGTGCCCAGAAAAGCGCTATATAAATGTAAGGAATTATTATTATTATTATTTGATGTATTTCACTCCTGGCTGGGTCAGTTGGCATTTCTGTGTGGAGTTTGCATGTTCTCATGTGGATTTCCTCAGGGTGCTCCGGTTTCCCCCAGTCCAAAGACATTTGCTATAGATGAATATAATAAACTAAATTGTCCGTACTGAATGTGTGTGAATGTGAGCATGTAAAGGTGTTTCCTAGTACTGGGTTGCAGCTGGAAAAGCATCTGCTTTGAAAAACATATGCTGAAATAGTTGGTGGTTCATTCGGCTGTGCCGACTCCTGATGAATAAAGGGATTAAGAAGAAGGAAATTAAATGGAAGAAAGAACGAATAACTATAGAATTTGGCTTCCTCTCAGTTTTTAAGTTGTTTTCCAGCACAAACAGCACTAAAAATCACAATTGAATTCAAAAGTTAAATGTCATAGAAAGTTTCTAACTGATCAAAATGAAGTTAATAGTCAAAACAATAAGATAAATCTGCCAATGGGCTCCCTGCCATCCCTAGACCCTATTGACAGATCATTGTTCTTGTTTTACCATTGATTAAAATAATTAAAATCCCAGAATCAAAATAGAAGCAATCTGTTATTTGCAATTATACAATAAAATACTAGAAATCAAATGTTTCAAACAATAACATATTGGGGTACAGTACTCTAATACATGCCCCTATGTATATTACATAGAAACCATATTTTATTTATCTTGCACTGTAAAAAAAAAAAAAAAGTTGACAACTTTTAAGGTAACAAACTTCAGGACATTTTAGAGTTTACTAAACTTTCAACTCAACTACTGCACTCAAATTTAATTTGAGTAAACTCAAAAATGTCCTGACAGTTGTTGCCTTGAATGTTTAAGTTCAGTCATTTTTTTTTACAGTGTAGCAGGATATTAACTTTCATGTAAAACGCCTCTGTTTTTTTTTTCCAATATGCAAATGATCTACTTGGAATTTTATGTTTGCGGTAAACAAATTAGGCAACAGAAAATATCTACTTTTTTATGTTACATGATATACTACATACTATGTTTGTAGTATCACATACTACTGTTAGTTGCATTCATGTGGCAACAAACTAAGTTATTTCTTATAAGGCCATTCCTAAGGCCAAGTTCTGCTGTTTTTGCTTCAGATCATGTTGTGCTTTTTATAAAGTAATTCAATTTAAATAAATTTGTATTATTTTATTTTATTATTTTCATGGGTTGCACCAGATCATGACACTAGATCAAAAAATAACTGCTTTATTCTTTTGTACTCAGCAGGGGGCGACAAAGAATCATTTATACAACCAGTCCATCACCAGGATGAGAAAAGTTCGTTTATACTTTTTTAATGAAAACTTCGCCGTTTTTCAGCAAGCTTTTCCTCTAAACATTCAATAAGAACAGGGTCCACTTTTGGATCCACTTTATTAGCAAACCAGTGACCGTAGTTTAAGAGCCATCTGAGCTCAGCAGCACCATAAATACATATTTTTCGCACATGGACTCCAGTGCATCGTGGGTAAAGTCTTCCTTCAAAAGCAGACCACTTTACCAGACGAGTTTTACTGATCAGTTCTGAGATGTCCGCCTCAGATCTCGGCACCTCACCAGGCACTCCAGGCACTCGAACCAGAGTCGCCCAGAAATGTTCATCAGGTGAGAATGTATCCTCAGACCAGGCCAAGAAATTCCTGGCTAAGTAACTCCAGTGAACAAAATACACAAATTCCCTTGAGAGAGTGAAGTAAGCGCTGCCTACAAACATCTCTATGTCATAAGGGGGTGGACGTTTCTTATCTGAAGTAGATACAGGTGTGTTGTAGAACTCAAATTTTTTATTTTTCAGCAGATGATGAACACTCCAGCGCCTGTTCTTTGCTCCAGGCCACTTGCTTTCCACCATGTTTCTGCCTTTAAGACCCTTCAGATCTGACACCAGCTCAGCGTTTGTCCGCAGTGGGAAATCTTGACCGCACAGGTTGATGACGTACTTCCACTTGACCTCAGAATCGAGGAGGTCTGACAGACAATTCAGATCCGCCCTGAGTCGTGAGATTCCTGCATACTGAACTCTCTCTAGTTTTGAGGCAATGAAGACATTTGGGATGCAGCGGGCCAGACCATTCATTGCTAACATAAAGTCTGTGGAAGACTTTCGATCATAATGTATGCAGTAGATGTTATGCGGCACATAAACGGCCCTCAGGAGTCTTTCCACAAGAGCAGCATTTCTATGAACAACTAAAGAATAAGCAAGAGGAAATTCCCGCTCAGACTCAGTGACCTGAATGGCATCATATCCCAATGAGGAGACAAACTGATCACAATCAGAAGTGGCATTCACAATAATTTCATCAGTTGGTTCTACGTAGCTTTTTTGCTTGCGGATGACTAAGGTTTTGGCCACTTCCACTGGTTCCATTTCATAAATTCTAGTGCAGTTGATGCCATATTTTGCTGTCAACCGTGGCATCTCAGATATTTCTTTTTTAGCTCTTTTACCTCCATTTTGAACCCCCTTTACTTTTAAAAAACTGATAGTGAAACAATAAATCAGCAATGCCAGTGTAAAACCAACAAAAAATATGACTTTTTTACATTTGAGGTGAAGCCACGATGTTTTCATCCTGTAGGGAGACATAAAAGCTCATGTTACAAATCATGCAAATGTTCTCAACATACAATGAAATAATATTTTACACAACACTAAAAAATACAGGTTGCCTTTTTAAGCTGAATCAAATTAACCTTATGAGTTCACTAGACTTATATTATTTTATGTTAAACTGACTTAAAACAGTGCAGTAGGTAGTGCTGTTGCCTCACAGCAAGAAGGTCGCTGGGTTGCTGGTTCGATCCTCAGTTCAGTTGGTGTTTCTGTGTGGAGTTTGCATGTTCTCCCTGCGTTTGCGTGGGTTTACTCTGGGTGCTCCGGTTTCCCCCACAATTGTCCATAGTGTATGAGTGTGTGTGAATGAGTGTTTGTGGATGTTTCCCAGAGATGGATTGTGGCTGGAAGGGCATCTCCTGTGTAAAAACATGCTGGATAAGTTGGCAGTTCATTCCGCTGTGGTGACCCCAGATTAATAAAGGAACTAAGAAAAAGAATGAATGAATGACTTAAAACAGCTTGCATAACTTATACAATTAAGCTAGAACATGATTAACTTAGTTTAGTAAGTTACAATGACCTAAAAACACATTCTGTCATGAATAATTAATCTTTTTTTTTACAGTAAGGGATATGAAATTCAAACCACGCTGAAAATTGCACTGACACAATTTAATTTTTCTAGAATTTCTATGTTAAGCTGCTTTGACACAATCTACATTGTAAAAGCGCTATAGAAATAAACAGGGCTTTTTTGATCACCAGCCACTGTGGCTAGTAGTTTTCCACACTGTAAAACTCCAAAAGTTAAGGTAACTCAAACCATTTGAGGAAACCGATTGCTATCTATTTAAGTTTAAAAACTAATCC